AAACTCCTGCTAAGTCTCTCAGTCCTGGTCATGATGTTCACGAGTCTCTTTCCTGATTTCAGAACATGAAACAGGCTGTTGTTGGGGTGGGATGTGTCCTTGATGATCCTGAAGGCCCTGCTCCTACATCTCTGATGTAAATGTCCTGAAGAGATGGAAGGGCCGACCTGCGGCAGCGTTCTGCTGCACGGATCACCCTCCGGAGGGCTTTGCGATCCAGAACACAGCTATTCCTGAACCAGGAAGTAACGTTCTGAGTCAGGATGCTCTCCACAGCGCCTGAGTAGAAAGTCCGTAGGATCGTTGGAGAGACCCTGAACTTCCTCAGCTGTCGCAGGTGGAACAGGCGCTGCTTAGCCCTTCCGGACTGGACTCGGATGTGAACAGTCTACGTCAGGTCATCAGGTCTACGTCAGGTCATCAGGAATGTGGACACCCAGATATATAAAACTCCTCACATGTCTCTCAATTCAATCCCAAATGGAACAGGGAAAAGGGGAGGACAGAAAGAAGGAATGAACACAAACCTAAGGCTGAAGAGAATAGAGGGAACCAAAAACTCACGTAGGGAGGGAAAAAAACCTCTGGGACTCAAGGTCACCTGGCTAACCCCCCCCCCCCCCCCAGCATGTTAACATAATAGGAAAAGAGAGAGCAGGCCTGCTTTAATCAAAGAAAGGTGTAAACGGTCAAAGCCGCCCCCCATCAATGAGTCAGGCAGGTTGAAGGCCGCACCTGCGATGATGTCACAGTTCATAAGCCGCTCCCACGATGTCACGCTTCCGTTCACCGTTATTTGAGAACGTCGCATATCCTGCCATCTAGCTAGCCTGCCGCATGGTTACCTTTCCCGAAAGCGATCAATTTCTCCTTAAAAACCACTATCATTCATGCCAAGAGAGAATTCTACAAAGGAACCTCTGACTAGGGCTGACAATGATGTACGCGGATGTAAATTAAATTACAATATGGCCAATTAAGTGCTACATGAGCTTTGCGTCTGTCTAATTCCCCTTAAACCATGCGTTTAGTCGCCTAAGAGGGCTGGGGAATAGGGCCCCCCAGAGCAGGGCCTCGGAAGCAGTGAGCCCCCTCCCCCCGAGTCGATAACGGCGGCCCGTCCCGGAGGGTCCTGCCTAAGTGCTCAGCTTAACACTTCAGATCTGCCTGGACGGTCCTACTGTTCCGAGAGCTAAAAAGGACAAGTTGGGGGGGGGGAGGCGGGGGGGCTCGTCCGCAGATGGTCCCAGAGGGGGGGAACGTCAATTTCTAATGCGAAGTGTCAGAGTAGCTGAGTCACGGCACTGAAAAGTTCATTAGAACGATATTTGCATCGCATAGGCGTCCATCTTGGGAAGGTTTTTAGCTATTCTGCCACGCCCACAATTAGCCGTGTCTATCTTTTTATTTTCCTCTTTTATCACTTAAATTCCTGAGCTATGATAGGAAGCTAATGTTCACGCCAGGGCTGGAGATCAAGGGCCGGTCACCAGGCATTGTGGGCTTTTTCCCAGGGATCCAGTGGCTTAGTAGGCGGGCGAAATTCATCGTGGGCGACTCCCCCGCTAAGATAAATTTATCGTAGGGGACCCCAGGGCTGATTTTTAATCCCTGTCCAGCCCTGCTACTAGCCATCTGGGCTACTTCAGTAAAAAATGTAATCTGACATGCAATTTTTCCATGCAAGTGTTCCAGTTTTTTTTTGTACTCGCCCTTTGTCTGAATCACCTGCCTCAGGCGAGCGGGCGAGCTTATTTTCCAGCCCTGCCCTTAACCCCGAAAATTGCACCAGTGGTGCCGGATAAATGGCTGACCGTGCGCTCAGACCCAAAGCTTTACTCTCACCTGTATAGGAGTCAGTGTCTCTCATAGGAGAACAAGGTCGTATATCTGAAAACCAAAGCATTCCTACGCAGCTGTACCTTTGTTTGCAGACACGGCAAATAAAGTATCATTATTTTTATTATTAAAAATGTAACCAAACGGGGTCCACGCACTGCCTGCTGTGAACAAAGGGGGCATTCAAGGCTGTTGTCCGCTATTGAAGAAGAGTCTGAATCATATTCGGTTGTAGGAATTTGTTTGTTTGTTTGGTTTGTATGAAAGCGGAAGCGAGGTCGGCTCTCAGCAAGGAATATCAGCCTTTCACAGCATTAAAATATTAGAAACTCGGCTGTGCAAAAGCTGAAATTTCACTTCAGACGTCCTTAGCCAGGTATAAACTGCACGCCGACTGATTCTCAGAAAGTAATCCTCGTATCAGTTACACAACCAGGGATGATGCGATTTTCCAGATTCGTGGCACAGTCGGACATACATCTGCAGCGTGATTTCTTAATCAAATTTCTCCATACCCAATATGCACCGAAATTTTAATACAACAGAATATAAAAACATTGTTAAGAAAAAATAGAATGAAAATACGCTGTCTACCATGTGAGATCGACACCAGAAACGTGGTGAAGGACCATACTGGTCACACTATCACAGTGACTCCTGACTGGTACCACAATCCATGTACCATGGAACATACCTGAACAAGAGGGGGCCACAAGACGGGGTGGGGGGGGAGCAGGGACATACAATCATTTCTTCTTATCTGTTTGCTTTTGGAATAACCTGATGTTTTAAATATACAGATAAAATTCAAGCTCTTACTAATAACGTTTAATCGGTATGCGTTACATTATTTATCAGTACTTATTTTTCGTGACTGTTCATTACGGCATTTTTAACGATGCAGGGGTGGCCAATCTTATCCGCAAAGGGCCGCTGTGTATGCGGGTTTTCGCTGCAGCTCCCTAATTATATTACTAATTAGAGGACTAATTGGCTGAGGAGTCCTCACACCTGGGTTTGAACAGCTGACCTAAAGGTTATCCCAAACACCTGCACACACACCGGCCCTTTGTGGATAAGATTGCCCACCACTGTCCTAAAGTGACCCCCCCCCCCAACTCCTCTAGAGGTAAGTGGACTGACTGAAATCAGAGCACATTTAATGCTGGTTCCAGGCCAGCTTATGTTGGGACTGTGCGCCAGACTGGGTCTCATGTGTGACGCGGCTCCCAGCCATGTCAAATCCATGGGCTCCGTGGAGGAGACTGATAGTCTGTCCTTCACCCCCACTGCATATTCCTTTCCCCCGTGGAATTCCAGCCCCGGCCGTGACTGCGGGAGACAGCTCTAAGTAACATGTTAATCAGACGCTGGCGGGGACAGCAACAGGGCCGCACTGCAACACAGGACGGCACTGCAACACAGGACGGCACTGCAACACAGGACGGCACTGCAACACACTGCGGCTGGCGGTAACGCATGGCTGGCCGCGCGAAGCTAATTATGCTAATCAAAAGATGTAGGGAAAGCAGATTACTGGGACTGGACAGCTTTTCTCATTCTACAATAGGCTCACCACTGTAAATATAGTAACAATAATAATACCTATTATTTATAAGGGGCCTTTCGAGACACTCAAGGACACCTTACAAACACGAAATCAACAGTCACAATATAGAATAAAAGAATGTATTACAGTTACAATAAAACCAGTGTTAATATAACACTGAATAAATATATCATGCAGAATAAGCGAGCTGAAGAAGGTGTGTTTTAAGGCGGGATTGAAAGGTAGGAAGAAAGTCTGTGTTACGAATGTCTTGTGGGAGACAGATCCGGAGACGAGAGCCCACTTAGCTGAATGCTGTGAACTATGTGCTATAAATATGTATATTAGATAAATATACCAGCAGTTTGATTGACGCAAGTCATCCGTTCCACAAACCCTCAAGTAAGTCAAGTTTTAAGTATGTTGGGTTTACCTTCCCACACCGTACAAGACAATTTATGGCAAAAAAAACACATAAGCCAAAAATATACTAGTAATACATACTAAAGAATACAGATTAAATAAATGAGAACACAAAGTGGAAATTTACTAACAGTCGTATGTTGCCTGTTTGTGTTAAGGGTTTTGTAAATTACGTATCGCTGATATTTTTTGCATAAGTCGAGATTTTCGTATGTCGCGAACCGCCTGTGTGTAAAACAGTGGGTAGTGTGCAGGAGCCTCGCATGTACCGGGTTCGAGGCCTGAATCCCGCCCCCCATAGGTCCGCATGTTCATTGTGTGTCATGTGACTTTCCTCTGGGTAACATATTAGTGCTTACGAGCGGACCTACGCAGAGATTTTGAGGGGGCAAGTGCTAAGTGACAGCAAAATTTGCCAAATGCATGGGGGGGGGGGGGTTCTCTTATAATCGGGGCCAATATTGTACACGCTTGTGTGATTTGTCATAAGGATGATTAGCGGTTGATATTCTCCATTTTCCAACCATCCATCCTCTAGCCATTTCTCACAATACAATTTGGGGGCCACTATCAGAGTAATGTTAAGAGATCAGCAATTTTCTGAGCATACTGTTTATTCACTAAAAACAACGGCCTCCCTTCCTGTCGATGTAGTACATTCCAGATACACCAATAAAAACCTTGAAAGTGTTTATGACACGCTGTAAAATATCAATATGCTGGAAGTACCTGCTCTGGGATTTTATGGTTCATGGATTCAAAGGACTAACAGTTGGAATCAAATTTATTTCGGGGCGTGGGTAGGCACTCACTCGGTGCTCACGCTTGGCTTGTCCCTCTAAATTTCACTCAGCCACTGAGGATCATTATTCATTTGGCTAGTCGGGCACTTTTCAATAGACCTGTGCCTTTATTCATCTAGGGTCATTCAGGCCTATTTACTACAATTACGAGCCAATCAGAGGCACCCTAGAGCTTTTCTCCTGTATTGTATACAGCCCAAAAAGATTTGCGGAGGACAACTGCATTGTTCAGTCGAGTGCAGATGAACGTTCCCACATTCCCTGTAAATATGACCTTTTATTCAGTCCATATAATGATTTTTTTTTCTTCCTCACAAGCACTAGCTTAATTTGATTAGAGGTAAATGCAAACGTTTTTAAAAATAATTCTTTATTCGTTTCCATAGAGGTCATACAGCTCACTCTCCCGGAAGATCAAAGGGTGAGCATCTCCACGGTTACCGTCGGCCTTAGCACCATGCTGTCCTGTGCCATCCAAGGGACACTGCGGCCACCGGTCATCTGGAAGAGAAACGGAATCGTCCTCAATTTCCTGGACCTGGAGGACATCAATGTAGGTTCTAGAATCTCCAATCCCATTTGTTGTTGCAATTGCCAGCTACACACACTAATTTAACGCTTTTCCCGATAGCTCATGTTGCGTGTATCACAGTCTTTGGGGATCACTAATTAAGGCATTCCCTGAAGATTATACCAATGCGCAGAGTTTCAAGTCAGGCTTTTGATTCTAACAAATACCAGTTTAATTCATTTTAATTTCTTAAATGAACTTGTTATTCTTTTGTTGCTTGACTAACAAGAACACTTTTAGGTTTGCACATCAAAGATTCATCTTATTAAATGCAAACTATGTAGATGCAGTAAATATATATACATATAAAAATATAATTACACAAAACCATTAAGTTCTTTATTGCCATTTACAATAGATTCTGAAGACATTTTTTTTATAATTTATGAAGTTATACTATACTATAATACTCCAGGTCAGAGTCAATCTCCCAGCTGCCTCGCCATGACTTTAAGATTTGTTTCAACAGTTGGTCGTTTTAATTACCTTTCTGGTAAAGAACAATGCAGAATCCTTTCTGGGACCTGAACCTGCAACATTCAGGATAAAAAGTCTCTGCCACTAGCTACTGTGGCTTCTGCTCCTCGTCTAAAGTTACACCACAGTGGCAGCAACAATTTAACATTAAATTAATATCAACACGTGAGAAGTCGGAGAGCGATATTCAGCTATTCAACTAAGTCAACACCATAGGAAACGCGTCGGTGTCGATACACAGACCGTGCATGGTGATCGCAGTAATCGGAGCCATGCTGTTTTCAGAAGACCGCGGACCCATGTAACAGACGACTAATGAATCTGTGCGCGCTGCAGCCACTAATCAGCCCGAGTTAACGAAGCGTTGTCTCGCTGGCAAGGCACTCACCTATACACCTGACAGTGCGAGCCTGTGATTGGCTGATATAAAAAAAACGCTTTAATCGCCTGTTAATGAATGGCCCTTTTGAGCATGCCCACCGAAGCCTCAAACGACGACACGTGTTGGTAAACAAGTGTGTCAGCAGGAGGAATTAATAAACGACTCAAAGTTCCGACGAAAACACACAGACTTCTTCTGCTATTGCGCGAACGGTACAGTGGCTTCTGACGTTCGCATTTCGAACGCGTTAACGGACCTTTATTTTTTTCCGTTTAATGCAGCAATCAGGGAGTAGCCTTATCAATAGCCAATCACATGTTTAGAATTGGTGAGTGACAGGGGAGCAAGCCAATCAGCTATCAGCTGATTGGACACTTTTTTTTGCGGCTTTTTACTGCAGCCTCATTTTAGGATCACGCGAGCAGCTCCACCACGGATATCTGAACAGAGTTTTGACTGAGAGGCTGTGCCGTCCTTGACAGCTCCTGTGGAGCGGTTGTCTACTGTAAGCTGGCTCAAGCCCAGTTCGGCGGTTTGATGCGGTCGGACAAACACGCTCGCACCCAATAATCTCCCCAGACGTCCGAGTCCCCAGATGCGGTTTGTTAATCCGGTTTGTAGAAGGGAAGGCAGCGCATGATGCGAGGAACGCTGCCCAGTGTCGGGGTCCTAACACACCCCAGCGTGAACCTTCACAGCGCTGAAATGAAAACAACAACAACAAAACGACTGCCACCAAACGTTGCTTGAATTAACATGTCAGCCCAGCTTTCATTCGTCTGCTGGGCCTTCAGACAGAGGGGCCAACCTTATCATTAACCAATGATATGTTTTTAATTGGTGTGTGACAGGGGCGGGGCACTCCAGGGGCCAATCGGCTTTCAACTGGGGCCAGTGGCCCCGCCCTGTACACGCCCCTGGTACAGTGAAGCCACGAATACCATTCTTCCATGGCCCTGGTACAGGACCATTCATTTTCTCTCCTGGAGATCCGAAGTGTCTCGTTCTTCTCCACTCAGCCCTGCACCTGAGTCGCATTTTACTACAATTTTTATAACTCACTTCGGAGCGGGAGCAAATCATGACTATACCCACCGTCTAACCACATGTCCTGGACGGGTTCATTGGGAGAGACCCAGGTCCAACCCAAGCCGGTAGAGGCCGTGAAGTCACTACACACTGGATGGGAAGCCCATTCCCAAATGCATCATTTTTAATTGTGATTTTAGCACATATGGACCCAAACAAGTGTATCTCAAAATGCATAATTTACTGATACATTTTAAAAAGCATTACTGATGTATTATTAATATTGCACTAATGCTGTTCATTTCTAAGTAAATTAATCTGCTTTATTTAAGCGGCTGAAAATGAAATATTTGTTCGGTGGCCGTAATGCTTGGTGAGGAATAGGCATGTCTAAGCGATGGCCTATAACGCCGAGCGGGGCCAACCACCCCTATGGGCATTTCAACAGCAGGCCTTTGGTGTTAAGGTGCCTGCCACGAATGGCTGACTCCCACGCACTTAAGCACGATCTCATCCCTTAATCCCTTTAAAGGCCCAGCCGGAAACCCCCGGGTGAGTTGTGCATCCTGAAAAACAACAACTGGCCTCATTAATCACGCTAATGCGCTTTTTATTTTTAACTCTTCCTATATATCAGGATGATTGAGCTGGATGTCAGGGCTCGAATCTCCCTACCATTCCACTGGGGTCGCACGGTAAAGCGTGGTGATTGATTGGCTGGCGGTCACATGACTTTCCCGTTGCCCCTCCCCCCCCCTTCTCTTCATTAGGACTTTGGTGATGATGGCTCCTTGTACATTACCAAAGTGACGACCATCCACATGGGCAATTACAGCTGCCACGCTTACGGATATGAGGACCTCTTCCAGATACATGTGCTGCAGGTGAATGGTTAGTAATGGAAGACGTGGGACTCCATGTTCAATTCAGTCACAACCGGGCACAAAGTTACTAGGAATCTGAAGGCTTTAAGACAGACTGCCTAAACACACACCTACCTTTTCCGTTTCATTCAGAAAGTGTTTCTTAATTCCACCATTACGTTTTCTTGGCAACACTTAATATACTAGTACACGCTTACTTAATGTATTAATTAACCAGAAACTAAGTGTTAATTATGTATTGATCCCATGTTCGTTCATCATTAATCAATCATAACAGTTCATGCAGTTACTGCATTTGTTCATAATTTGTACTTGAATAGTAACTGAGTTACTAAGTTACTTGTGGCCCGTCAAGTAAATTGTTACTTTTATATTTGATTTTTTTTTTTTTGATATTATGTTATGGAAGCAGAAGTATGAAAACGACATTGAGTCTAGACGACTGTTTTCCGCTCAAATTTGTGATCTTTTATGCATTTTTCACCTTTTATCCCCAGTGAACCTCTCCGAATGAAATTGACACTCACTTCCGATATGTTCGCGCGAAGGCGAATTTGTTACAGAGTAACCATAACCTCGCTCACAGCTCTCTGTCCTGCAAAGCATAGCATCACATTATAGTCGGACATAAGACTAGAAGAAGCAGAGTCAACTCCTGTTATGCTGAAGTGAGACAAACAACATTGCTTAGCTACATCAAATGGCTAGTGGCTAGTGGAATGTGGGAGGCTTTAGATAATGATTTGCGTAAGACTTCGGGCTGAACGGTGCAATTACCAGAATTTCCCCGCTGCCGGAGGTTCAGGAACAGTTTGTTGCCTGTAGAAAATCGATGATAGTGATCCAAAACTACCGCATTCACTACTCACCATCAAATACATATTACAAGAGAGCATCTTCCAATACCAGAAATATTTGGAATTAGCGGGCATGAAAAGATGAAATTGTTCTTGTTTATGAAGTGGGTTTTTTTTTTGCTAATTGAAAAACTCTAAAGCTACAAGAGAAGAAAGCCCTTCAGCCAATACGTTAAGCAAATATAATTGTTCCAAAAAACAGGTTATCTAATTTCATGATTAGCGGGCCTCAGACCTTGGTTTTAAAGCATTTTCATATGTGAATAATGCAAAAAATATTTGCAAACCATTATGCAGATTAGGTAGTGTTGCCCCTACCTCACAGTTTGGGTCGAGTTTTATAGTATATTTTTTCTTTCTCATCACACAATAAGCACAATATTACCATTTTCATTTATTAATTTATTAACCAAGTTCTTCAGTCCCAGTGAAAGTGGGTGAACTCAGCGCTGGGTGAACCAACCACTTGAGTATAAAGAGTGACAGTCATTGAGTACTCAACTGGTTGGCTGAAACAAAATCTTGGTCTGGACTTTTATTCTCTGGACCTGGACTACCCACCACTGGTGGTAATATTAGTTGAGGTGGGCGCTGGTGGGCTGGTTGGGTCTCTGACGCCCCCCTTCCTATGTGTTCCCAGTGCCCCCAGTCATCCTTGTGTACCCAGAGACGCAGGCACAGGAACCCGGGGTAGCAGCTAGTCTACACTGCTATGCTGACGGTATCCCAAATCCCAGCATCGTGTGGCTCAAGAACGGCATGGATCTGCAGCCCAGACTTTCCAAGCAGCTCTCTGTCATAGGTAAGGCAGCCGGTTAGAAGCCTCTGAAGAACATCTCCGAAGGATCAGCCCAGGTGGTTTGACGCCAAGAGCAAAGGCGTTTTATTATTATTATTATTTAACCTTTCATCAAACTATTGCACAGTACTCTATAGCTGTGTTACATAACATTGTGCGTCTTGGTCTTGCTGTTGGCGTTGTGAGAGTTAACAGCTGCCCCCGTCTTAACAAAAGAGTCAAAAATACACCATAAGTCCAGAATCAGGTATTAAAGAGGTTATGACCTTATATCCTGAAGGTATCTGGTGTGAGTTCCAGTGTGGATCCTTCTGTTAAAGCTTTAAGTAAACATTCCCCCCGTGACCTGCATCAGAGGGCAGTTTATGGGCTGTGCGTGGGTCATTACCTACTGTAATAGCCTGTTATCGTCTATGAAGTTTATCACTTAAGTGTCTTAGAAAAGCTTTATAAGACGCCGTGTTACAGATATGGACCTCCACACACGCCAACAATGATATCGTTTTTGCCACTTCTTTTTCAGTCGCACCCAGAACACCCAGAACAAGAATTATCACCTCCGTCATTGTTATTTACTAGAGTTATCATGACCCTGCAGTGGATAAGCAGTTACGGGAAATGGATGAATGAGCGCTGATTGGAAGTGTAGCGGTTCCCCAGTATTAATGCGGCGGCCTGGCACAAAGAAATACATCGAAATAACAGCTTAACGCTATCTTATTAAACCATTTCTCTTAGGCGGATTCTTTCGCTATGCATGCAAACGGAGATAAACCGGAGCCGTGAATCTAAACAACGTTCTTCTGCAAGATGAGTGGAGAGATAATAAGCGTTAGATATAGACACCATCTTGGGTATTTAATTAGAGGTGTTTTCTTTTGTCTGCCGAGATAGCGCTAACTGTAAAGCGATGCTATTTATTTCCTTCCCTCCAAGGGTATTTCTGACAAAAAGTGTATGAATATTTATCGGGAATTGCGACGGAGGAGGCAGACGATGGCTCGCAGGGCGTTGGCGGAATCGGCGAGCGTTACCTATTTTCCCCGGCATCGCGGCTAAGTGCCGCACTCAGTTTTTGAAGTTCGTGGCGGTGTGGGGGGGGGGGGGAGGGTGGTTCACAGCGCCGTGTGTGGTTCACTCTTTAGCTGCAGGGGGGTGGGGGATGGCTCCACTTTGCTATGTGATTGCGCCTCTCAATGTGTGGAGCAGGGTTATGGAGAAGTCCCAGTCTAGGTTTGCCACTTCCAATCAGGAGAAATAAGGGACACCCCCCGCCCCATGGGGGGTGGGGGTCTGCCAACTCTATTCACATCCATCATGGTCAATGTGTATTTATGGTCAATTCCATTAGTATTTTTTATCATCTAAATGTATCTCAAATTCATTCAGATCATTTTTGTGATGTGAGGTTCATCATTATCGACATGGCTTGTAACATACAGAAAATAACCTTTTTACATTTGTTCTTAGAATAGAATTAGAACTCTGTTTAAATCAATTGCAAGTCAATTTCAAAGTGTCGACTTAGAGATTCTGCAAAAAAAAACACATACACCAGCATAGCTGGTTACCAGCATGACCAGTATATGTTGTATTTTGGTGCTGGTGGACCAACACAGCTATCCTGGTTTGCCAGGTACACCGGCACCAAACCAGCACTAACCTGCATAGACCAGCAAGGGAAATATACTGATCTATACTGGTTTTTTCAGCATAGATCAATGTTTGCTTTTTTCTGGGTTGGTTTAATGTAGAGACAGTCCCCCTGCAATCCTTGAATTGAATTGTTTTCAGAAACCACAACTTACTGAGCATCGCCTCAGAGCACCATCAACCTGCCCTTTGTCTAAAAGGCAACGACGTGCCCCTGAAGTAACATCGGCCCCTTTTCTGCGGCAATTAAAAAAACAAACGCTCTGCGTGACGTCTGCGCTCAAAGCGCAGCTCATTTCGCCCCGAGCTGGAAATGCCTTCCAGAAGCATCCATCAGCTCACGCGAGACAGGAGAGCTGAGAAAGCAAAAACGGCGACAGCGACGAGAGACGGAATACGGCGGCGCGTTCGGTCGCACGTACCTGTTGCACTTGCCGTTTTTGACGGAGTGCGTGAAAACCATTCTGTCTTGGGCCCTTTTGAGCGAACAATAACATAACCCCCAACTGTGCGAATTTAAGTAGCTCCCCCGCAAGTCTCATTGTTCGGTACAGATGCACTTCAAAGGTGCTCGGGTCATGAGGGGGTGACAATGCCAAGCAGGGCCCTTTGCCTGCATCTCTGAGAAGCGGCCTGGTGAAGTGGTACAAAATTGCTAAGGAGGGGGGCGGGGGCTTTTTGAAAGAATTTCTTTTGAAGTGTGATCGACGTGTCACCTCGACAGCAAACGGCAGCGAGCTGCACATTAGCAGCGTCCGCTACGAGGACACTGGCGCTTACACCTGCATCGCCAAGAACGACGTGGGCGTGGACGAGGACATCTCCTCCCTGTTCGTGGAAGATTCGGCCAGGAAGACGCGTGAGTTTGAACGGCCTGCCTTACACGTCCTCAAGATTCACGCCATATTTACATTTATTTACAGTAGGCAGAGCCTACGCTTTGAAGTTCTGTTGGTTTTCTAAGCATTAAAGTGAAATATTCAGTTTTCTAAAGGAAATGTATTTTAAAGCAAAATGAGATGACTTCTAAGTTTAGCTTTGTGTATTCCCTTGACTGCAAACAGTGCAAAACAGACAGGAAATGTGGGAACTGGGACATAAACCTACACATAGAAGAATAGAAGATTCACACATAATCTGTTACACAAACCACAGCTTTTTAATTTAATGTTCTTAGGATTTGTTGGATTGTTGGATTGGTGAGGTTTGGTGGTGTATAAGTGGGCACACACTCACAATGAAAACAATTGCTGGCTGAAAGTTTAGCTACGTTTTACGTATTCAGATCAGGGAGGCTGTAATACACATCAAACTAACAAAGGAGGAAATGACATCAGACATCAGCTGATGGAGATTTTATTGGTGATTAGGCTGTGCATGAGGAAATAAAAGCTAAAAATACATTTTTGTTCACACTTGACTTGTGACAGTGCAGCACCGTGTTCACTAGATGACGCCAACGTGCGCTTCTTTAAAGCCCTAATCTTCCATTACTCAAAGTGACGTTTTTATATGTTTTTTGTTTTCTCTTTCATTATTTACCGGCACCGCGACGCTGCAGTTGCAAACATACTGTGGCGACAGGAAGGTACTGAGGAAGCCTTTGGTGTTTATCGACCATCCGTGTCTGTCTGCTTCAAAATCCATGTCCATTACATCAGTCACGATGCCCTCTGAACAAATATCAACAAATAAATAATCAGCAAATTCCATCACCCCAAATTTTCCTGACGTACCCAAAGTCCCAATGCAGTATTTTCAAGGTCAAGTGCTGTCACAAAAATGTTTTCAGCTTTTATTTCTATATATATTTTTTTTCGTACTTCGTTACTTTGGTTACTTTTTTCGCTCGTGGTGTAAACTCCGGTCAGATGGCTTGAGGCTGCCGCGTATTCATCTGAACAGCTAGACGGCTGACAGACAGCAGATTGTCGCTTTAGATGGCTGCCCGCACGAAATGTCGACACCTAGCTTTTCTTTACGTTCACGTAGCCCGGAAATTGCCCACTAGCGTAAAGCTGAAAACACCTTTGTCACAGTACAGCCTTTCAGTTAATTGTACAGTTTGTCCCATAGAGATTGACCTACTTGCACCTCCTACAAGAAGCCTCATACCGGCACACCAACTGTAAAGTGGCCTTTGTTTTTATCTAGTTTCATCATTTTCTGCGTTTAAGTTTAGATTTTCTCTTTTGCTGTCAGTTTGTTCATTGAATCGAGTTATTCATCAATGGACCATACATTTAATATCCTCGTGTGATCAACGTGGAAGAGTGGAGTGTGCTAACAAGGCGTTTCATTGGTTTTGCTTCTCCGCTCAGGGCTGAGCGTTGGAAACATGTTCTACATCTTCTCCGACGAAGGGATCACCATTCTCCAGCCCGCCGACTGCGAGACGCACAAGCACATTAAGCGCACGGACAGGATCGTGGCGAGCTACGTGAGGGACCCCCCGAGGTTTCATCGCTTAGGGGATTAACCGCTAACAGACATTAGCGCCAAAGCTACCGGCGACCTCCCACTGAACTCCGGCTTCCTCTGCGCGGACGATTGCCTGCCGCACCGTCCCGAGGCTCTCGCACGCCAGCTGTGCTACTTAACGCTGTTTGTTTACAGGCTCCCTTGCCCCCCATAGCCCCCCATTTCTGAGGGAGTTTACAGTTTATTGAGGCACAACTGAATATTACACTCGAATCCAATTCATCAGTGAAGCACCAGGAAACATCTCTCAAATGACCCAGGAGCTTTTATATAGCCCAAGTTACTTGTTTCTTCAAGAGATCAGAGTTTCACAGTCCTGAGTAATTGTAATAGGGTTTTGCATAAAATCGATGTTGCATGTAGAATCACTAAAGCCTGTCCGTGCTTCAAACAGCAATTCCTCTACTTCACTGCCTTGACGCAGCAATGGAAATGGCTTCTTTTTTGGTTTGTGCCTGCAGGAGGAAATATGTCCCAAAGCAGAAGGCGACTCTCCTCCGAGGTGTGTTTGGGCCTCTGCCGTCAGCGTCAGGGACAAGTACATCTACATCTCACAGCCCCTTCAGAACAGACTGCTGGTGGTGGACACTCAAGCCCAGAAAGTCGTGCAAGTGGGTAGCCATTGTCTTCGTTCATTTATGTCACCGCTTACAGCTTATTTGCTGATGGTTTGTCTTCGGGGCTCGTGGGGGAGTCGGCGAAGGCCATTCTGTTTGTGTAGACTGAGCCACAGGAGGTGGTAGATGGGTTTTTGTTTTCATGAGGGGGGCTAATTCAGGGGTGAGGCTAGGAATCCCAGGTCCCTTGTCAGAAACCATCTACGTCTGGGTTCCCCCCAATCATTCAGAGTTCCCATCCCAATTATGGTGTGTCAGATTTTGAGCGAAAACACCCAAAATGCCCAGGGTACCTTGGTGTAAGTACATCCGCGCCAGAGCAGGTAATGGCTGGTGATGGATGGCTTGGTTCTGCGGTCTCGACGACAGCGTTACCCCTAGCTGAACTCTTCCCCCGGGTTCCCCCCTCCCGAGGTGGTGGAGACGGACCCAGTTCCAGTGAAGCTCCACTACGACAAGTCGCACGACCAAGTCTGGGTGCTAAGCTGGGGAGATCTTCGCAAGACGCATCCCACCCTGCAGGTGAGTGCTGGTTCATCAAGGCCTGAGGTGACCTTATGGTTATGGAAGTAGGCTTGTAGACCCGCTGTTGTACCTTTATGCGGGCTGCCAAATATGGACTGTTTCAGTGAAAACCCAGCTGTATAAACTCCCCAAGACTTCAACTGCAAAATGTATTATGGACTAAGATATCTGTTAAGAAGTGCCAATAAACATCTATTCTTTGACCCATTAAATATTAGAGATATCATTGTAGAATCTTAATGAATGGTCATGAAAGTCATAATGAATGGAATACCTGAGATTGTTTTGAATTTATATCAAACCAGAATGTTAAATATGATGGGCTCCATTCAGGACACAGTTGATGTTGAGCATCAACTTAATCAACCAAAGTTAACTCTGTCCTTGACAAACGTATGTGATTTTCCTTCTCGGAACATTGCATTCATTTTTATGGCCACGAGATTCCCAGTGTCATGCCGAGAATGGAAAAATTGAGGTGTTTATCATGGTATCAGGATTGAACAAGCCCCTTGAATCAAACGATGAACAGACCGACCAAATGGAGACAGTCAATAATGACAACTGAAAGGTGGCATATTTGTTATTTGAGAGAAATTGCCTTGAGACAGACGCAAAGATCGCTACACTTCGTGCTCTCAAATTACTGTACAATACCAGACTCATATTGAGTAAACAAATACAGTGCTACCTCAGTTCTCGAACTCATTAGAACTCAAATTTCTTAAAAGTCGAACCAACCAGTTAGGAAAAAAAATTACCTAGTACTCTATCTGAATCTCAGAGGTCAAACCGTGAATGCTGACCCAAGATAACTTGTACGCGCGGGGAAATGAGTCAGCGGAAACAAAGGGTAACGCTTCAGTCTCAGCCTCGCATTCGCTGTGATAGCATCGTGCATGTTTACACTGGCTGAATACATATATTTAGACAGTAAAAATATATTTAGACAATGATAGACAGTAACAGTAATTATTATATAATTAAATACATTTTAAAATAAAGATTTCTTATTTATTATTTTAATATTAACAATAAACCATTAATACATTTTATCGTAATAATATTGTCGTGCCAAGCGGGGCCGGAACGGAGACAAATGCGCAGACGTCAGGGTATCGGGGAATACGGGGTTTAATTACAGGTAAGGCAGGCAAAACACAGACGGACAATACAATGACCGGACTGGGGAAACAAACTGAAACGCGGACGAAATACAGAGGACTCATGACAACAACAAGAAACAGCTGATCACACGGGGATTCCACACGGGGTTAACGAGGGGGCGTGGCACACGGAAGGAGCGGACGATCGGGGCAGGACCCATTGTTTTTTTTTTTTAACTTTACACATTGGATACATTTATTTTCTTACTTTACAAATTACTGTTTTGATAAATGTCCTTAGATGTGTTTAGTACGGTATATGCTTTTCTTGTTTTATCCAGTTCATTTTGTGTTTAAATGCTAAAAAAAAAAAACATATTTAGGTTTCATTTTTTGGGGCCGGGAACCAATTCATTGATTATTTCTTAGGATTCGATCCGGAGTTCTGAACGGATTACGTTCGAGTTCTGAGGTACCACTGTACTTGGAAAAATTTTGAGCACTAAATAACAATCATGAAGAGCTTTCTCTCTTAGGCTCTGTCATATGGCAACCAAAAATTTGATTGTCGCTGTGTTCCCAAGCACTGTTGCCTCAGTCTCTGGACATTTAGAGAGAAAATTATCACCATGTGTTTTGTGTTTAACGGTCAGCCGGATGCTAGATGGTAACACCCCCCCCCCCCAACCACCACCACCAGTGTGCTTGTTTAGTGTTTCTCGGGGGGGTGGACAAACCTCAGCCAAGCAGCGACCACAGGTGCATGGTTTTGTTTTTAAACACAGGTGTTGTGGGGGGGGATGGGTATCTTCACCATGGACTATTGGCGGAGGACAAATTACACCTTCACCACCAAGGACCGAGTTGCACTTCCACAAGACAAAACGCCCCTCCTTTTCTCCAAAGGAAGAATCCCACAAAGCCCCTTCTCAACACATTGTAATGGAGAGCTTCCTATTAACAAGGGAGTCTGTCTCAGTGCTTAGCCAAATTCTCCCCGTTCCGTGGCCTTAATCTGCCAGCCGTTCCTTACCTTGAATGGGAGAGGGAGCACCAAGCCTCACGAAACAGGAGGAGAAGACCTATGAAAAGGTCCTCCATCAAACGAGGAGGATTTATCCTCATTTTATTCCTTTTTAGGGGCTAGAGAAGTTCCTCAAACAGCTTTTGAGGATGACCGACATGCATTTGAGGTCACCAGATGAGCCATTCTGGGAAACTTATTTGGGCTTGCGGGCAGTGAATAATTATTTACGGGATATGAATCGCTCTCAGATGCAATAAAGCAATATCTAGAGAAGCACATAATAAAGTGTAGGGCAAATGGTTCACACCACAAATAAATGACTCGATAATGTCATTATCATTTGCAATACAAATAATTGGCCTGAGCATTGAGAATTCATCTCTGTCGGAGGAACCATTTTGCTTGAGCGGTGAAATATCAAACCTCTCCCTGTATTTTTTTTTCTTCTTCTTTTAAATAGCTCAATATCATTCTGCAAACATGAGGGTTTGACCGTCTTTTCATTAAACACAAAGCGAGGGAAGTCTGGAAGATAGCAGAGATTAATACCTGCATTTTTATACACGTTCAGAGACTGTCCTGTACCCAGACAGGTTGGTAGTGGAGAGTTATAAAAATAAAATAAAAAAACATGCTTTTTCATCAGACTAGCTACCCATCAAGGAACTCGAGAAAAAAGGCGGAAATCACACTGGGAAATGGCGTCTGCGCTATCCAGCATACTTCCTAATTAAAACATTATGAATATGCATGCGAGCCGTTTCGGGAAAACTGATAGCATCAACATTACAGTAAGTGAATAAAATAGATTTGCGGAACAATTGTGATAAAACAATTAACATAAAATGATTTAATTACAGTAAAATTAATGTATTAAGCATCGCAGAAGTGTAACATTTTGCACCACCATTGTTCGCTCAAAAAGAACAAAAAACAAAAATGTAACACCATTACGTTATCCTTTGTTTTTCCAGGTATTTTGTTTTCTTTAATGTTTCACGGTAATGCTTGTTTCAGTTCAATGAATATATACATTACAATTTTTACTAAGCCTAAAAACATGACGGCGAAATGGAAAAGCAGTCGTTAAGTGATTAAAAATGGCAGCTGGCGTTAAAATTTACAGAACCGAGCATTCTGGGTAAGTGGAGCGAGTCTCTCGTTTGTAATACATCTTGTGTTCTGGAACTGCACTTGAGCTCTAATTAATGAAGGCATTCATTTCTAATAATCGGCCTGTATGGGAAACGTTTGTGGGGAAACCCCCCCCCCCAACTCCCCACCCTGGGGGAATCGTGTATTGATGTCTTTCGCTCATAGAAACAAAGGCCCTGGCATGTAAGGCTAGCAGTGATTAGTGCGCGGATGCCAAACTGATGGGTCAGTGACAGCACTGTAATTCTGGGCTCCCGGCACTGCCAGCTGCTGCCGATGTAATCCCTGTCCTTCAGGAGAGCAGAACAAACCCAGCAGATACTCCGTTTAACCTGACAGAAAGCCAGCTGACATCACCTGAATGGGGTGTCTCCCCCCCGCCCCCCCCCGTTTAACACTAAATACATATATTGTGAGTCATCCTGTATTGAATAACCTGTATGGAAGATGGATGTATTTATTTATTTTGTGTTTTTTTTTTTTTATATTTCTCTAAAGCAACATAGATTTGAGAAGGTAGGGTCAGCCAAACCCTGGACCAATTGCGGTTAAGGACTATTCTCAGGGGCGACACGGTGACATCACTCTGTTGACAGTGGGATTTGAGCCAATGACCTTCCGATCACAGGCACATGCAAACTCCTCACACACAGAGTCAAGGCGTGATTCGGACCACCAACATTGGAGATGCGACATGGCCTCAATATATTTATGCTATCGTCTTGTTTTCCACTTCATGAGGACTATTTTCAAGGTCCTGCATAGCAGTCTGCCCATTACAGTCCAAGGCTAGTTTGCCTGCCGCATTTTATTCACATCAAACTGGAAGGTCATATAGGGCGAAGATAAAATGTGTAGGAATTTAATCACATATCCACCTGAGAGGCCACTTTCACAGTGCTGATCTGTTAGCGTCACACCTAGTGTCAAGATAAACCCCCGAAGAGCAGCCCGCTGTACAAACTGTTTTTGATACATCATAAACACAGCGTAGCGTAGATAAATCAGTTATCTGCTATGTAACAACGACTACAGAACATTTTGGAAATTTCATTAAACGTTAATTCATTAACAGAATGTTAGCATGCAATCTTCGTGACAATCATACAACGGCTATTATAATTAAATCATTATTTTATGCAAAAATTCCAAATATCTGTACACGATGTATTCTGATTTTGTGCCTAGCCATCTGTTCCCTTACCTGTGATGAATTTAAATCCACCCCCCCACCCTGTTTGCATTTTACTTTTATAAGAAGTGTGTTGAAGATTGGCACCTCTTCAGTTTATTGTAATTTGAACTGCACTCACTATGTAAGGTTTAAAGCTAACAGGATGGTTTTAATCCAAGCAGTGAGTCAGCCCAAACTGCATGAGTGGGGAGATTGAAGCTGGCACTCTTGGTAAAACACAGATTTCTGTAAACTGCAGTTGGCGTGGAACTGGGGAGGGACTTAATGGTAGATGCTGGCTCTTCTGAAGACATTTAGGGATGCCTTTTTGCCCTAAGTATAAACGACTCTGCTTTTGCTCGCTGCGGTTCTGCAGGTCGTCTCCCAGGCAAGTATTGGAGAGGAGCATCACGCAGTCCGAACAAGGTTCCAGAGAGTGGACGACTTCTTCATCCCTCCCACCAATCTCATCATCACCCATGTAAGGTACGTGACTCCAACTTCCATCGAGACTTCAGCCAGGCCTGTTTTCCAGTCCTGTTAATCTTAGAGGGATTTCTGTTCAAAAACGGTTTAAATTTCAAGTGGAGTTTCTGTGACAAAGTCAACGCCAAGGCTGGAAATAAGACAACATTCTAGCAAAAGTCAAACTGAAATCTCTTGACTTTTTCCTCGATTTTTTGTACCAAGGTTTGGCTTCATATTCCTCAAGTCGGAAACCGCCGTTCACAAAATCGACCTGGAGACTTTCCATCGCATCAAGACCATCAGCCTCAAGAACTACAGCTGCGTCCCGCTCAGCATGGCCTACACACACTTAAGTAGCTACTACTTCATCGAGTGCCTGGGCAAGAACTCGTCCTCGCTCCTGCCCCAGCTCATAATCGACGGCGTCACCGACTCAGTCATCGGGCAGAACCGCGACATCACGGGCAAGCCCTACGTGTCCGCAGACGGTCGCTACGTGGTCACGCCGGACCACCTACACGGAAAGGTCATGGTGCAGACAGTCACCTTCCAGGGGGTGCTGCAGCAGAGTCATGAGTTTGAGGCTGTCCTGAACGTTTCAGATCTGGCTTTCCAGCCTTCCTTCACAGAAGCCAACCAATACACCATCTTTGCTACCTCCCGGTCAGGAACGGACTTGTTCCTCTCTGACCTGTCCACGGGGAGGAGAGATGTTCTACAGAATATCAAAGAACCTATCCCTTCCAACTCCTGGCCCTGGAGTAGCGCCAACAGGGTGGTGGTCTCCAGCGGTCTGTTTGGCCAGTACCTGGTCACACCCTCGACGGAGTCCATCTTCGTGCTGAATGGGAAACAGAACAGGCCACACTGCGAGGTGTCAGACATCAAGAAGGGTAACACAGTGGTTTGGGTTGGGGAGGTATGAACACAGGGAAACGGTAGGATTTCAGAAGACGGCAAGATTTTAGGCCAAAATACGCTAGAATGTTCAACTCGATGTACATGGACTCAACCCTGGACTGAGCTAGTATCAATATGTGCGGTTAATGTGGTAGAGGAGGTTTGAATACAAAAAAAAACAAATGAATAAGATAATATTTTTATTTGGAGAAGATGATGGAAGTCTCCAGTGCAACAGTGATCTATGCGCACTAGAGAAAGTATCTAATCTCACCACCTTTTCACTCTGCAGACAAGCATTAAAAGAAAGGATAAATGATTTATTTAAAAAAAAAAAAAAAAAAAAACTATGCACAATGATCACTTTTATAGAGTAACGCTTTTTTGGTTCGTTTGTCATATGCCAGTGCTACAAATGGTCACCCCATCCAGTCATCTGCCTATTTATGTGTCCATTCCCCATTTAATGACCCTCTTTCGACAGTAACGCTACAGTGGATGTTTATGCCATCATATAACGCATTCTGTGAAGCCTTTCATCTGAACCCAGAACAGGCTGGGTTTCAAATATTCGAAGTGTTTTCGGGAAAAAATAGCTATTTAACCTCCTGGACCTCCTGATGATTTCAATTAGGTCTCGCTTCCTGCAGCCACTAGAGCAGCAAAACACTGGATACACCATCATTGATATTCAGTTTTGTTCACATGCCACAGGTGATTCTTTTTGATCAGTTGTTCCTCTTCGTTCCGGCACCTGGCCCCATTTTTAACCTTTAAATGGTCTTATAAATTCATTTTCATTTTTCACCAGGCAACCCCATGTGGCCTTGAGGCCTAGATAAGCCACTAAAGTGACTTTGTCGTGACGCCGATCGGTCGCGTCCTCGCACCGAAAAACCCCAAGTCCGCGGAGAGTGGCCGTTTCGTTTCATGCCACCGGGGGAAGTCGTGCTTCATTTCCGTTGTCGAGAAGAGACTCGTTTGCCGTAAACCAGGAGGTCCACCAGGGGTTGCGCAGAGTGTCTTAGTGAGTGTGGAATAATGAAAAAAAGCTGGGAAGATTGGGGATTCTCTCCTCAGCGAGAAGAGGGTGTGGGGGAGGAGGTCTCATGAGCGCTAAGCCATCGCTGCCGGTCCCGCCTCTGCCTGTCTAACTTTGCCCGAAAATCAAAGCACTCAAAATTGTCTATCAAGTTCAATTCGTCTTTTTATCCATCTTTATTTAGTTTTTTTTTTCCTTTGTCTTTTTGGTGGCTGTACACATGATACATTTGGCTTCGTTGCTACTGGATCACGGTGACAGCGATGCCGATTCTCCATGCTTTCAGCATGCAGAATTAAGGCAAGTGTCAGGCCTATTTTAAGTTGACAGTACAAACATTAGATTCGACATCTCCCGTAACTGACTGTTAGGAGGAAGAACATTTAATATTACAGTGATTTTGTTTTAAATAAGACATTTATTTTTTTTAACTTCTATGTAATTAACAACCTTATTTTTGAATGCATAGTTAGGAACTTAAGAAATATCACCTTCATAATTGAAATTCATCAGAGTAACATTTTCTCTAACTTTAAATTGTATTGCAAAAATAAATAACACCTGTTTTACAAGCATAATCAAATAAATGTAAAATTTAAACTACTGATGGAAGGAATTATAGCTACCATACATTTTTTATTACTGAAACTGCTATTTTGAAAATGAAACCATATTCCTGTAATTTAACATGGATTCTCTCTTGGTGAATTAAACATGACTGTTTTAAGCCATTATAAAACCAGACCATACATAGGTGTAATTTTTTTCAGGAACTTAAATGATCCCCTGCCAGTTATTTAAATTGCTTTTGTGAGCTATTCTGCCCATCAGCGCATGTGTCCTTCATATTGACAAACACGTTATGGTGATTTTTGCTGTTGATCAGTAGGTGTTCTAGAGGTTAGAAGGTGTAGAGTAATTGGGGCTGCTATCGCTAGGCTTACAGGTTCAAATCCCCAATAGAGGCAGAGGAATGATTCTATAAAAAAAAAATCGATCTGTTGAAAAAGTGAAGGGTGAAGGGTAAATCATTAATGTCCGCGATTGTGCTCTTTGTGTAGATTTCTGCAAAGATGAAAACTTACACAGATCAGATTTAAGGACTAAAACGAAGACTGAAATGCTGTCGATCCACTAAAAACTAAATTCCTGTGTTCACGTTAAAAGATGTTTATACAGCAGTTTACTGTGTATACTGAGACGTGCTGAATTTTAAATGTTAAAGAATTAAGGATAAGAAATATTCCTGCAGGTTACACACAGATGAATGCTCATATCTGCCATCTTCTTCTCTGGGATGGAATTGATTGAAAATTACTGGTTGACAGTTTGGGTTCCAGAACTGAATATGCATTTAATCCAATTTACCCTCAGAATTATGAATACCTATAAAAAGTGGCTACAATTAGAGCAATTAAAGCTGTTTCCTCAAAATCAGTGTAACAATGTTACAAAAAAGGTCCACAGGTGTAGTATTGGTGTGATAGATCTCAGTCGCTACTGTTGATAATATAGTTCTGTAGAACACGGAGATGAATAAAATGTACAGATGTAATTATAAGCTTTGTGTTTTGATTTGTGAGGGAAATGTTTTCTATAAAACATTAAAAAGCAGAAAATTACGAAATGTACAGCTTATAAAATATAAATATTCAGGGACAAATTTCTCAAAACATTTGAAAGAGTAGCTTAAGTTTGGTGTACCGCTTTTCCTTAATCCTAAGTCACTTTTTACTCTAAGTAGTTTCTGTCTTTCATTTTTTTTTTTTACCTTAAATGGAAAACCAATCTCATCACATTGTGACATCACTGTTTATGACTCATGCCAGTATGCGTGGCACATTCCGCAGTGTAAAATCTAGAAGGTGGCACATTTTGTGGGAGTGAAATGTGAGACTGTGACCGAGTCCTCGTGCCACATGAGACCCACCGTTCATTCGTCTTCATTACGGACCTTCGCTTCCGGACAAAGTTCACTTATACGGTACAAATGATGTCCTACCACAGGACACCGGGCGTCTTTAAATAAACAAAGTCAGTTCCTGATACACTGAAGGACATTTGGAACAATGATGATTAATACTGCAGTCCTGCATGGTGTCTGTAGGTGTCACACACTGTGTATCAATCACCTGCTTTATATCCCAGATATGCAAGTGACTACCAGGCAGATGGTGAAATTACAAATGTTTTACTAACCAAACAGATACTAGCCCACTGCAAATACTGCAAGTTTGAACCCCACTCGAGATCTGCTTCCAACCTGGAAAAACGCACCCTAGGGGACCCCCCCCCCCAAAAAAAAAATAATAATAATTTCTGGCTACAAGCCTGGTAACTACTACTAACTGCTATTAATCTCGACGACCACGTGTGAACTGGATATGTTTAGTGTATTTGAAATTTTACACAAGGGGCCTAAATATACTCATTTGTTTGTGTGTGTGTGTGTATGTGTGTGTATGTGTGTGTCTGTGTGGCATGTTAGGATCTACAATGACTTCTGTGACCTGTAGGGGCTTCTAGATGTATTTGTGATGGTTAATCTCTATGCAACACATTCTCACCATCAAGGCAATAATTGTCGTTTTGAGAACAGTCATTCCTCATCGCCATTCCTTTCTCCAAGCCTTTCCCATTTAAGGAATTGCCATTTTATGTCAGATTTAAGTCAAAGACAAGATGGTTTTAAGATTTGACATATGTGACATAGGGACCTTTAGTCTGAAAAAGAAGCCTCATATCATTTTTCACGATTGCTTTAATAGGTCATTTTTATCCTTTCAAACATGTCCGAATACCTGCATTTTCTGTGTAGTAACGTAAATTTAAATGTTATGTACATACAGAGAATCGGTGACAATGTTTCTTTAATAAATGGGATTATTTTGGAATTTGATAAAAACTGCATCGTTTAGACTGGTTTGTTTTTGCTCTCCATTGGAATGTCTTTTCAATGTTTACACACCCTTTACCCTGGTAAACAGAAATAAAATGTCCTTACCTCATGCCTTCCTGTGATACTGAAGTCACCAGTGATGTGTTTGAATTAGCATTGACTGTAAAGATCAGTTCTTCTCAAATGTACTGTACAGTGTTTCCTGAGTTGTACATTTTTCCTCAGTTTTGTAATAAAAACCTTAAAAATCAAGCCACTGTATTTTGCTTCTTATAACGTTATTCCAAGACAAATAGCCTGTGGCTGCAGGTGCCGCTATATCCAGAGATGGTAATCAGTAAATCTCTGGCAGTGGCCCAAGTCATTGTTCGGCCGCAGAATGGAAAGATTTAAACCGCTATCTCTGCCGGTCGCAACATAAATCTCCTAGGCCGCCTGTCAATGTCCCCACAACTTACCGGCCATGTGCCCTGTATCATTCCTAAATCTCATCTACAAATTACCGAAATATAAACTCCAGACAGTAAACAGTGACACTATATTCCACCGTGTCGATAAAGTAGAGACTTGTGAAATGTATTACTGCGTTATGCTGCAAAAATTATATGTTGCCAACCAATGTGTCCAAATCATAATATTAATAAAAACAGCCATAAATGTACGTCCTATGGAAAGACATAACCACTATAATAATATAGATTTATAATCTAGAATAATATCAGACAAATAATAGTATTTCCTTTTAAATGTTTATTTAGAACGAAACTTAACAAAACGGGCATTCCTGTGCTGCATCACATTTGTATATTTGGCAAACACTTTAATGTCCCTGGAACAACTGCCCAAGGGCCCGACTGACATCAGTCTGCCAGTCGTGGGATTCAACCCAATGTCCTTCTGATCACTACCATAGACCTTTATGTAAAGTAACGTACATCTGAGAAAGCACAGCATTCCAGCATCCCTGGAACAACTGCCCAAGGGCCCGACGGTGACATCAGTTTGCCAGTCGTGGGATTCGAACCAACGTCCTGCTGATCACTGACATAGACTGACACTGACTTAGCTTCTTATAAGCATACGCGTGCATGAACTTTGCCATCTCACTTTGAAACTTCCCCAAAGACCCTACATTGGCCTCTCCGGCCCAATCGCACTCACCTGGTGGCTGTTCGCTACCTCGCAGGTAGGTTGGGATGCCTGAGGAGAGAGTGAGTGGGTTTTTTCTTCTGGGCGTCCAACGCGCTAAATCAAACTGCAGCAGCGTTGACGTCTCGCACAACTGCCGCTGTGGGCGATGGTCGGCAGGCCTGATCTCTCCTCAGCTGGACTGTGGGGCGGCACACATCGTCTTGAAAGTTCCAGCCCTTAGAGGTCATGTTCAGGAGACAACCTGGGAGTGGGGGGGGGGATTTCATCTACAGGGGAGCAAAGGGGTCAGAAGTGGGGCCGGTAAGGTTCTGTCAGAAGGATGCTCCCCCCGTCATCCTGAACATCCTTTATGTCTGAAACAGGCAGCTACACAGGAGGGGGGGAGGGGTTGGGAGAAGATAGGTCATGTGGTCGAGGGTGTTGGTTTAAAAAAAAAAAAAAGGCACAAAATCAATGCCTGCATTTCTCCACATGGCTCTGGCTCAGTGTAAACACACCGCGCTCACAGAAAGTCTTGGGACGCTTGCTGAATCCTGTAATAATGTTGCAAATTTACTGGTTTCATTACAAAAGTATATTGGCAAGCAACGTTTAAGGTATCTGTACACATTTTCCTCACAGACATTTTCTTTTATTTTTCTTTTCTTTTCATAATCTTTTGACTGACTCATTCAGTTCTGTTCTTGTCTTTTTGCGATTCATTGCAACTGTAGTCACTGGCTCCCAAAGTGATACTAAACACAAATGTTTTGGCGTTTTATGTTATTGCAAAGGTGTTACTAATTAAAAAGCCTCCAATGAGACTGTTTGGCGACAAACTTTTTAACTCATAACAACGCTTTTAGAACTATAATTTGGGTTCTGATTAAGTTCTGAAACCTTCAGGGCTGTGGCCAATGAGGACTGCAGCTGCCGACCTAAACTCTCTTCGGTCCTCCACCCCAAGACCTGAATGCACCAGGACACTCATTATTTCATTGCCTTCTGAGATCAGCTCCCATAGCTTGATGTCACCATTAGGCTGTCAGGTTAACAACTGAGTGCCGAGTACCAGTCCACTCTATAATCCAGTTCCACTCTTCAGAGCCACATGTGTTTGATGGACGATGTCTGCGTCCCTTTTCTGCTGTCAAGATTCCCCTGTCAGCCGATGTGGCTGTAAAGTGCAGATTTTCAGCAGCAGTGAGACGTGAAAGCTGTGCGGTTCAGAGGCTCCAGGACTGTAGGGTCAAATTCCACCTGAATTTTCCACATTTCTACACTTCGCAGATTTCCTGGAGGGGAATTGTATGTATGAATGAATGAATGAATGTTACATTTGTATAGCGCTTTTCAAGACACTTGAAAGACACTGGGGCATTGGGATCCACACAGACCACAGGATGGGCTACCGTGTCACTGCACTGGGGCATTGAGATCCACACAGACCACATGATGGGCTACCTTGTCACTGCACTGGGGGATTGGGATCCACACAGACCACAGGATGGGCTACCGTGTCACTGCACTTGGATCCACACAGACCACAGGATGGGCTACCGTGTCACTGCACTGGGACATTGGGATCCACACAGACCACATGATGGGCTACCTTGTCACTGCACTGGGACATTGGGATCCACACAGACCACATGATGGGCTACCGTGTCACTGCACTGGGGCTTTGGGATCCACATAGACCACAGGATGGGCTACCATGTCACTGCACTGGGGCATTGGGATCCACACTGAGCATAGGATGGGTTAACCTGTTGGCCACACCAACACCTCTTTCATTGTACTGATATCTGGGTGAATCTAACCATAAAATGCCATGACATCACCATGTCGGTGTGCTCTGCAAGCCCTGCTCTACGTGCCAATGGCTTGTGGTAATAGACTGATCCAGCAGCCAATTTGTTTCTACAACGAAAATATGTAGCTACAAACATCAAGGAGACAAGTGAATCAACAAACAGCACAACCACACCAAAATCAGACTGATTCGTGGGAAAATGTGCTCAAATATTATTATATAACAATATAATTAGGCTGTATTTAATCTCAAAGAGATGATCGGCGATGCATGTGTGTGACAGGCCCGTTTCTGCGGGGTTCCGGAATGCGAGAATAATTTAAAAACGCTTAAAACGTTTTTTCACTGGCTAAAGACTGGATTGCAAAAACCTAAAAGGAGATTAGGATCCCAAAGGTAAAATTTTACGAATGGGGGAATTGGGCATTTGAATCTGAAGACTGAAAACAAACGACAAAAAAGGAGAGGATCCTTTGACAAAGCAAGGCGGGAGGACGCTGGTTAGCATGAGCGTCCTTGGCATACACCTGACAGTCTGATTTTGATTCCGATACGAAGGGAGGGAGAGAGAGAGAGAGAGAGAGAATCTGCTATGACAGAAACACTAGACGGGTTGTTCAGCAGATGTGACTAGCGGGACACCTTAGCTGGTTTGGCGGGTTACTTCAGGTTGTCATTCTCGGCATGCAGCGATCACTTGGCCGTTTGGAGCCGCACAGCATCACCTCATACCCAGGAACGCCAGAGCACCTTCGCCAGGCGGGATTATAAAGACAAATCAAGCTGAATGCTGACAAACTCGCCTAACCTGCATGGCTTAACGTTATGGGTAGTTTCCTCACAAATACATTCCCGTAGGACCGAGTCAATAATAGTATATATTTCTTTTTGGTCATGAACACACCACCTAGTATCCCACAGGGAAAAATAACACCTATTCTGCCCACTGCAGAAATTTTGTGTAATAAGTATGACTATACAGTTCAAAGCAACAATCCAAGCAGGGATAGTTTATATAGGTAGTGTAATGAGTAGCAAGAATGTTTATAATTTAACCAAGTAGGTACAAGTATTTCTTGCCAGGGGCCTGTTTCATGAGGATTTCTCGCTGAGCCAAATAACATGTCAAATTTAATGTAGTCTTGGCAAAACGTAAGTGTATGAAGATAAAGCCCAGTTAGTCCAGACTAACTAAAATCCGACAAGTTATCCGGCTAAGCAAGAAATCCTGTTTTGCGAAACCCCAGGTGTTTTAAATGCTGGGTTTTTATCTTCTTCTAAAGGTGCTGGATAGAGGATGGATCCTGACCGAAATTCCACTGGCTTCTGAGTCATACTAACATTCAGCCATGGCCTCAAACTTGCAGATCACTAATAGGCATTAACTCATGTGTCTAGATAAGGAACCCAGGCGTTGGCGTGATCCAGGCGTTGGCGTGATCCAGGCGTTGGCGTGATCCAGGCTCCACACCCACTCACCTGTGCTGTCTGCCGAGCCTTAAGCTTCTCTTTCGTCTTCAGTCACGGACATTGGCCGTGGGTGACCAGAGTTACCCTCAGCACCTGAGAAGAAGTGAACCTGCAAGAAAACAAAAGAAGAAGTGGTAGGAAAGCAGTGAAGGGGAATGGTACAGAAACTGGGACAGTCAGATCACACTCAAAGCACCAGAGGCAATTAGGCTATTGGGTTAGAAGCAGCAGGATTATGTAAAAGAGAAAGGACAAAATACAGAGGCGCTGAGGTCAGGGACAGAATGAACAGACAAACAAACAAGCAAACAAGCAAGCAGACAAACAAACTCAAACTAAAGATTCAACTAAAGAGCAACTACACAAAGAAAGGAGTCAACTGGGAGTCTAAGCAAAGTCAAAAGCTACGTCACAGCAACTTCCCGCATGTCTGCCAGCTAATGACTCAGCACTTATCTCATCAAGAGCAAAAAAAAAAGAAATTTAATTAATAAAAATTTAAAAAAAAACAGAAGGCAACTTGTCTGCTGGCTTTCTAACCCAGCTTAGCGCCAAAAGCGAACACACACCTTCATTTCCCACAGGGCCCCGGAGACCGATAAAACCTGGACCGGATTGACAGTCCAAGAGTACGGCCCTCATCACATTGCCCACTAGTGGTCGGAAGAAAGCATTACAGCCTGCAAAACAATTCTCTCTACAAAAAGAAAATTGCCCATTGCTTGTTAACATCTTTAACATCTTTCACAATAATACTAAATTCTATCAGTAATTAAAATAGTGCAAAGGCTTTGGAAGAAGGTACATTAATACTTATACTGAATAAAATAAGCCTATGTGTACTGTCCAATCTATATAAATATTTAGGTTAGGGGTACCGTAAAGGGGGGGGGGGGGCAGTTAGGACAATTCCAAGGGCCCCTGAGTGGTAGGGGCCCTAAAATATCTGGAATATTATTGCATTGGTCTGGGTTGGGGGCCCCAAATGATGGGATTTTATGGGGCCCGACATGTCTAGCAGCCTCCCTAATTTAGGCAGATACATTTGCAGAGCTAGAGTCACGACAAACTGCACGATTCAAACAGCACAAAGGGCACTGTCCTCTCCCAGGGTCACTTCAGACTCGAAAGCCCAATAATGCATGACTAAGGATAAAAACCCATTAAATTAAAGGCATAAAACACTTGCTATCACAAAAACCTTGGTCGAGAGAAATTATGATGTAATACAAAGTACCTCCATTCTGAGCGGGAATTCTGTGTTCCCTGGCACGACCGACAAATGCACCCGAATGAGTGGAGAAAGAGGGAAATAGCAGGCAGAGATAGTACTGTACCTACTTGACAGTGCAAACAGCATTTTTCTTAATGGTATATTAAATCTTCATTAAGTACGGAGAGGCAAGAATGAATGCTGCTATTTTTACAGACGACCAGGGATAAAATCAGCATCAATAGAGACTTTCTGTGCCTCTGTGCAAACACTCATGGATTTTTCTTTTTTAATTCAATGGTTTTTCTAAAGAGGAAGACTAATTGATTTATCGACTCATAAGAGATACATTACGTTTGGCAAATAGTGTATTTAGCAAAATGGCAGGGGCTTAATTGCTTCATCAAATTCTTTTAACCTGCGTGCCAAGTGTGGAAATGAGAATTGTTGCATACCTTATGTTTATACTGTCGGAGTTATTCTGTAGCAATTACCGACACTATCAAACACCCTGTCCCGCTAATTCCGATGCGGGGTCATCCGCAACAAAGACATTAGTGGAAGCAGTGAGCTTTCACGTAACTGTGACCTGTAGGTACCACGCTAAATGATGCAATGAGTATCTCAGCACTATTTCCCCTGGCCTTCAACCTGCTGATTTGGCAGTGTCAAATTACGACAGGAAACGGTACAACCCACACGCAGATAAAGACAATGCCTTCACGGTTGTTTTTAACATCATTTTGTTCCAAATGTTATTTTCAACTACAAAAAAAGAAAATACAAATGTTTTAAGTGTATTTGATGCAGCTTGTGGTATCAATTTGTGAATGTACAAGCTATTAAAATACCCTTGTCCTATCAAAATGGCAGCAAGACAGATGTAGCGTAATCGCTTGTTCTGGATCAGATTCATAAAGCACATAACTCCTCGCATTAACTTACCTTCAAAATCACAGTGCCAAGTAGCTTAATAACCCCGATTTAATTTAGCTCGTCGGAGAAACATGCCAGTTTATAATCCTATTGTCGGCTGCCAGAATGAAACATTAAAAGTGTAGTCAAAAGTATTCAAAACTTGTGTGGTTTATGCTTTTTGTTTCTTCAGTAGGCAACAGTCCAGGAAGCGCTGGCATCACGGAGGCTCGACTTCATAAATGTCCGCGTGTAGGTGTGTGGCGAAGTGCACAGTTGGAAACACACATATTTCATCAAGCTGGGAAAAAAAAAAGAGTCACAGAGACCCGATAATACTTACGGTGAATTCAAATTCTATAAACCAGACCCATACTAACCCATACTCGCTCGCGTTTAGCTAATCTGTAACACACAGTCCCTGACAAATGCTGCATTTACAAAGACACTTCATGGAGAATAGCACTGAGGGAATTTTGTAAATTGTATTGTCACGCAATGTAACTTTATATATCAACCATGTTAAACCAGGTATTTGTCCGTCCATCCATCCATCCATCAGTTTGCTGGAACTACTTGTCCTATTCAGGGTCATGGGGGGACTGGGCACAAGGCAGGGAACAACCTGGGATCCATCACAGGGCACAATCACACACCATTCACACCTATGAGCAATTTGATAACTCCAAGTTAACCTCAGCATGTTTTTTGGACTGTGTGTGGGGGGGGGGGGAAACTGGGGTACATGGAATAAACCCCACAACGACATGGGGAGAACATGCAAACCCCACAATTATTATTCCCTATCCTGTTTACTTTTTCAGTTATATTGTGCTTTGCAACAAAAATATAGTGTGAGATGTTCTTCTAAAATACTCTTCAAGTTCCTTGTGACTTGTGACCTATCTATCAACACGAGTTGACATGGGTGCAAAAACTAAAACTTGGAAAAGGAAACATTAAGCTTCACTGTGAGGAGGCTGTGGAGAGATCATTAATTTCCCATACCCACATGTCCTAGGCAGGCTTGCAGGGGTCTATAGCCTGTCCCGGGTAGTAACGCAGGAAGGGGTGCCGACACATTGCAACACAACCCTGAGCTGAAATTTATCTATCGTATAAATCTGGAATCAGTTCTTTAAATACCACTTTTTAAATGAGAAAAAAACCCACCAAATTTATCACTGAACCAGCTTCACCCCCCGAAAATACGAGAAGAATTTTTGACAGAAGTACAATCCATTACTTTCCAACAAAACAAAGAGCTTCAAACATCTAACGATCAACTGGACAGAATCTGCTTTGAAAAACAGCCTCCCAGAAGGTAACTGGAAGTGTTAGCGTTTGTTACAGAGGCGTGAAATTCTGCATCAATCAAACTCACATTTGCTTCATTTAATCAACTCCATGTACACAGTGCATTTATGACAATAACACTGCCTACAGATTGTGCTCTAATTTATCTACTATGCAGCATCAGAACAAACTGTCCATCCTCTGTCTATCTAGGGGCCAGACCCAATTTGGGCTTCAGGTGCCTCCTTCACATCAGGTAGCATAACCTGAACCGGCTACTGGTCACCAAGTACTTAGCTACATTAACTATACCAACACGTCTGCTGCAGAGTTTGAGACCCTGTGCTGAGGCTCCTTGCATCAATTCCAAGCTTTGGCCTCATATAACTTGATAGTCGTCCGTCCTACATCTCTGGAGGTCTGGCAGAAAGTATATAATTTACCACTCAACTTCTGCCAGAGTTTGGGTCTTTTTGTGGGCATGAAGGATGAGTGTTGGGCCACTTATTGATTGTGAGGGAAGGCGATGGCATAAGGGTGAGGAAACAATATCTTCTCATGTTGACTAAGATCTGAACCAAGTCTGTTCAAAATGTTCTCCAGGTCTAAGAGGGCAATGAACAGAAGATATCCTGACATTAAAAGTGATTAATCATTCCTTGGTTTTCCTAATGAACCCACATTTTCCAAGGTGTAATTAATTATGCCCTAAGGGACATATTTCACTGGCTAGTCATGGTACACCTGGAAGACATGCTGGTATACTCTGCATATGAGGCACTCCATGTCCGATATGTGGATCAAGGATTCAGTCATTTAATCAAGAATGAACTGCACTTTAAACTGTAAAAGTGCTAATTCCGTACCTTAACGTTTCTTTGGTATGACTGACCTTCACTCAGGACACACAGTGTGTTCGATTGTTCACCAATTCCTTCTGCGACTGATCGGGAGCTTTGACATCACAGCCGCCCCCATCATCATGCAGCTCCAAGCCCTCCCCCCCCATGTCATTTGCTCTGCGGAGGCATAAAAACATTCAATATCCTTAAGTGCATATTCCCCTCCCTGTCTATCTTAGCCCACCATGACTCAGATTGTTGTAAACCCCACTGGCTAATTATGGCATTGTCAACTGGGACAACTGGGACCTGTTAGCCATGAACTTCTCACAAGATTCGCAGTATCAGATTTCGTCTCCAACCGGAGACCTCAAATCACGTCCATGGAGACAAAGTGAGACACATTGGTGGGTTGAATAGCCAGACTAGAAACTTGATCCGTCTCAAATCCTAATCTGTTTTATGTTTATGTATTTGGTCTCCTGGCTTTGCTCTGTACTTGGACAGTCATAACCCCCAAGGGACAAGCCGATGGGAAAAGCCGACTGCTACAAGCAGAAGATCACACCCACGCGGTACCCACATCACTGCTCAGGATGGCCCACAGCCCCTCCCCGGAACGTGCAAGAGCTACACAGTGCCAACATCAATCCTGACAGGATTCAGTCGCAGCAATAGCCACTGGTAGAATTTTTGTCTGCAGCTCGTTGACGCCGTGGCATTTACCCAGATTTACCCAGCTGCCACGGAGAGGTGGCCTGGGCCCGAGGAGTTTCGTTCCGTCTGTGGCTGAGTTTTGCGCAGGCATCCCAGCGGGCACCCTGAGATTGAAGACCTTGACCTTTCGTTTCAGGATAGCAGACGTGCGTCACAGTGCATTGATTTGATGCACGGACGCTGCCTAGGGGAGACAAAACGGTGAAATGAGTAGCTGTTTAAACCGTGATAAATGGCTTTTATCTGACAGCTGATGAAGGTTTGTAGGGGTTCTCAATTAACAACAGCTGCAAAAAAATAATAATAAATCATTCTTTCCTGAGCCCGCCAATGGCATTTTGCTGCTGCCGACAAGCAAGTCTTGCAATACTATCTCTGATTGACTTTAACATTTTACCTCTAGTGCTGTGTAACTTGATAATTCTTTGATTAAAACTACACCTGTAAAAAAACAAACAAAAAAAAAACACGATTAGTATTTGTACCAAGATTCGTTTTTCACTTCCCATTCAATAGTCATCGATTTCTCATGTTTGTTGATGCACAAAAAATCTAAAGGGGTTGTCCCTGAGAAAAACAAAAATCACATGCTGGAAAATGGTTGGTGACTAAATAAGGGTCTTCTGTCATCGTCGAGGTGCTATAGTTTGGATTGCATGACACAAAACACGGGGGAAAGCGGAATAACAGTGACCTGGGGTCCCTCAAACTATTTCAGAGAGCTTTGCCTATTAACTGAGAATACATATTACATGTGCTCAATGTGTTGTATGAGTTTCTGAAGTGCCATTTTCATGCAGTAAACCTCACCGACTGACTATAAGCATGGCTTATCTTAAAGGCAAATCTCCCCCTTCTTTTACTAAAGTATCTCATAGCGTCTTTAGTCTGAAGATGCCGGAGACGACACAAAGGTGGCATGAATGAAACCAGACAACACGCACTCTTAGTGGATTGACTTTGCGCTCAAAGTGGGTCCTTTTGACACAGGTCACGCTGTCAGCGAGGCTGTTCGAAACATCGCCTGTACGGCCGCGGCGAAAAGCGAACCGCCTCTCCTCGCGTTTCCGCAGACGTTGAAACTACAGCAATGTCGTCAGGTCTCCGGAGGTACTTCAAGTTCACAAAGCAGATCTCAAACTGCCCATCCTGTTGTCGAGGGGACATGAGAGATTTGCGCTCCGTGCTTCTGACATCAGCAAAGTCACTCTCGTGCCTGACAACCAGTCTGCTGTCACCGTTGTTTTTTTTTTTGTCCTCTCATTCACCTGCAGTGGGGCATCTGCACAAACAGAGGAGAACTTTCCAAGTCACAGCAGAAATGAAACACTCTCCGAGGACATGCTATGATAACCTGTAGGGGTGCTTTCACGAGTCACGAGTGCCGATTCTCAACAATATGTCAGAAGCGCTTAGAGTATGTGCTAATCAGCATGCGTAACGGTACAACCTGCAGGGAAATATTGCAAGATTTTTCTCTTTTAAGGCTTTTAACTAAAAATCTTGTGTGGGGCATTGCTTAAACATATCAGCACAAACATCATGTTTTTCATATACTTCCTTTTAACAATTGTATGGGTAATTTCATTTCAGTTCTTGCATCAGTAAACATCCATCCATTCTGTGTGTCCAAATTACCTTCCAATTATCTTGTGGTGTCTTCAGTTTGAAGATGCCAGACAGAACACGAAGATGGCATAAATGAAATGACTACATGCATTCTTAGTGGATTGATTTTGTGTTCAACCTGGGTCCTCTTGACACTGATCCATCCATCCATCCATCCATCTTCTGTAACCACATGTCCCATTCAGGGTTGCGGGGGTCTAGAGCGTATTATTCCCTACCTAGCACACCCATGGCTTCTGGAACAGGCTCCAGTCCCCCACAACCCTGCACAATATATAGAAAATTAATGAATATGTATCAGAATAGAAATTTTGGTTTTAGGATACGCGGATATGTGAAGTCTGAACAGTTAACAAGCAAATAAAAAAGGAAAATAACTTGTTAGCCTGTAGACGGCTAACAAGCAAGTTTTCCTGCACAGAATTCCTCGTTAAATTTATAATGAACATCTTTGTTTCCAAAAAACACCCCCTCCTTAAACTTCTTAAGCTGCTTCTCACAGACACAATGATGAACAGCTCTCGCCGGCCGCGATCTGATTTCATTTCTTTGATGGCTTCTAAGGGAGTACAGTACGGTTACTGAATGATGTATGTCAGAACCTGTTTGGGCAGAACAATCTTATCATTCAAGCACTGTCAAGACAAAGAAACACTGTAAGACAGCAAATCAGTACAGTTATCAAAGTCAACAGCCCACAAAAAAACAAATGGTTCCATTTAATATAAAAACGCCTAGTTCACATGAAGCTGTCGTACGATAAAGACTATTTTTAAAAAGCTTTTTTTGTTACTAACACTCTGAAATAAGAGTTTCTCTCTGCGTGTGACAAAAAAAGGATTAGTATATCTTGTCAAGTTCATTTTTCACAACGTTTCATAGTTTTACCATGCTGACGCGAAAGAGGAGAGTGTTAATTAGGTTCACAAATGTGGCATTCATGTAGCTGTCTGCTTAAGATTCTGGAATCAAACCACAAATAAAGAGGAATTAACCAGTAACATGATGCGTAACGCTACAGAAAGTCAAACAATAAATCGCATGCTGTTTTAATTTAAGGTTGTTTGTGCAGAACCATCAGCTCTGGAAGGGAGTTCAAATTTATATCACGTCAACATCGACAGATTATGGCTGACATCTGTTCAGAAAGTCTCGCAAAGCGGGTGTAGGAGTTGCCTTTTCACTCTCGATTTTATTTTTCCAACAAAATACCATTTTACCGCCACACGAGGTACTCGCTGGTCTAAGGGGAGAGAGAAGGTTAGGCCAAGGACTTCTGGAGAAGAACGCACACCATCTCTGGGAGAAGGAAACTCGCTGTGATCTGATGAGCGAGGTCTCCCACACTGTTTCCTGTTAACTCTGCCCGGCAGCGATTAATCTTTCACGTACCGTGCTCCCTGTCCGCTCAAGCATGTCATGGGTGAGGGAGGGGGAGAGTGTGACGGTGCCAGTGGGCACAAGCTCCGCGCGGTGCGTGGCGGAGTGAAGGGCAGGCCCGTAGACGCCTTAGCGCAGTTAGCACTGCCTCTAGCCACGAGTCAGGCGGCTGGCTAACAAGACTAGCGGAGACCACCAGATGGCTGGTTGCATCAGGGACGAGGTTTCTCTGAAGGGGGATTTCAGACCTCCAAGTTTTGTTTGGGTTTATGGTTACTATCTACGCTTATAGACGCTACACCAACGCTTTCTTTAGCGTGTGTATTTTGTCAGTAGAGTAACGTTACGGCTTTGCGTAATTCTCTTGTCGTAGAAATCATACGGTCAAGTTCAGCTGTTCCCCAGCGTTGTAGTCTGTCAGCAACATCTCAAAGATCTTTACATTTCATCACCGTGTAACAACCTATAATAATAAAAATAATACAAATCCGCACATGGTGGACTTACCGCACTTTCGGAAAAGAGAAAAAAAGAACGAAGGATAAAGTTCTTCAAAGCATGTTTGTAAAAAGTTAATTAAACTAAAATCCCATCTTAAAAACTGGTTATGTTGCAGTGGTGGGGTGGGGTGGGGGATTGTGGGAAAATTAGACCTGGTAACACAGGGGCTAAAAAAACCACAGGTGTGTTTATGTAGGTTTAATATCAACTCTTACAGGCTGATGTGACAGGATGTTTGATATTTTCTTTCCACTAGAGGAAACATCACGACCTAGGACCTAAATATGACCCATATTTACTCTCCCCCAGGCCATTAAATCCTTAATCCTAACCTTTTTGGGATGTCTGATTCATGGCAGAGTTAGTGATGGTGTTCATCTTACAGCAAGAGATGGAAGCGAAGATTGGGGCTAACTTAATCCCTATAAATAATTTAGCCTCACGCCTACAGACAGAGACGCATAAAATACGACGTCAGGTGGGAAGGGGGTAGAAGTGATGCAACACGGGACACTCCGGTATTCTCTTTGGGGCTGAACCTTTCTGACCAATCAGACGTTCTTCATGAATGCGTGGTGGGGTGGGGCTAAAAATGACATCGGTCTTAAAGAGATATGGAAGTTTGGCAACAATTTAAAGATAAAAACGTAATCTTGTTTGAGCCAAGAAGATTTCATATAAAGTTGTTTATTCTCTTGTCCATTAGCATTTTCTGTTACTTTGTAATAGACAAAGTTTTCTTGAATTTTGAATAAAAACTAGCTGAATTTACTGCCCCTGCTGAAGGTAGGTTGGTTTCTTTCTGATCACCTCGAGCATGTGACTGTGGAGCGATCCATTAGCGATCGCGGGGGCACTCTTACTCTTTCTGGCTGTTCATTAGCAAGCATATAATGGGAAATTAGCACTAAATAGTCAATTAATTACATCATGTCAGACTGGGAACCAAACTGCAAGGAAAATATTTATTGAATGTAATATGTCTTGCGACGCTTCGAGATGCTGGATGTGGAATCAGGAAATTATACCAACAGACAAGGTCCAATGATGTAAAACAGCCCATTAGAGTGGAATATTTCTTGAATGACTGGGTGGGCATTTTAAACAGACAGAAGCAGAAAATAAGGTGCATTTATTAGATGCAATACAGCTTGTTTTTGTAACCTAAGTGCACGTGTATTCTGCTGTTTCCAGTGGGTGCGATGATTCTATATCTTGTTGTTTTTGACCTAGAGGGATAATAAAATAGCTAAATATCCCAAAGGACTTTCCCAGAGCTGAATCCCATCGACAGCACCTTCCGCACGTGAACCCAGCGTGGGCGTGCAAGAGGGAGGCGTGCAAGCGAGGTGTGAACATGCGCCCTGTTTCCCTGACAGGTGAAAATGTATCCATGTGATTACACGAGGATCACTGACGTGCAGTGACAGACGTGTGGTGAAGGTGCCCCCAGCCTCATGCAAACAGACCTCGACCTTTTGAAAGGAGAGAGGCCAGATCGGACCTATAGGGGGCGCTGTTCTGAGATACGTAGCCATTTCAAAGGCTCGACTGTACTGATAAGGTTCAAGAGTTTACGGTCATGTGCACAGTAAAAAGTCTAGTACACTATAGTCTAGTACACTGGGAGGGGCAATTCTAGGATTTGAGCGGAGGGCAGCTTAGTCCCCAAGAAAGATGATACAAAAAACACTAAATGGATTTAAAATAATATTTTTTTTGGGTGGCTGATGGGCGGTGTCCCATCAATCAGTCATCCCTGTTGCCCGAGTCATGAGTCACTCCCCGAGCTGAAAAAGACCAACCCGCAAAACCGGCAACAGATTCCGCTTAGTGTCTGTGCCGTGTCTGACCATCCGGTTGATAGCACACGTTGGAGAGCGGGACGGAGCCGTGCGGGGAACGCCTGGCATCATACAGGCGTCCTGTCTCGTTGCCATGACGAAGCATCAGACGTAGGGTGGAGAGAGACAGAGTGTGGATTCATTGAAAATGAGATGGGATGAGCAAGCGTGACGAGGCGATCTATCACGGCGCGGATCAAGGGGGCAAGCGCATCAGCGGCGACGCGACTCGCGGCCGGCGAACACTGATAGCTGCTTAGCGTCACGTCCACGAGGCTCTTTCCCAGCCCGGATCTTTGGGGCAGCACTGTCACCCACAAAATAGCCATCACACCAGTGAGTGGTGCATTCTGGGTAATTAGATTGATGGAATCAATTTTTCTCAGAGCCCATTTTCAGGCAGGGATGTACCATTATGGAGGGTGGGGATGCAGAAAATTATCACCGTGAGATTTTAAGGTAGCGTTTCTCAACGCAGTCCTGGGGGACCCCATGCAGACAGTCCACATTTTTGCACCATCCCAGCTCCCAACCAATCAAAAAGTCCTGTATTGGGTGTGTTGAGAGCTGGGAGGGAGCAAAAACATGGACTGCTGGGTGCTCCCCAGGACTGGGATTCTCTGGCTTTGTGTTTCACAGCCAGGTGTGACATGGCTCATTGCAGGGGCCTCACAATTCTCTCCCAAACCCACCCAAAGTTACGTCCTGTCGATGAAAGACAGAGGAAGACTTGCGAAGCTATTTCTTTCTCTCTCGGCAGACTCTCTCCGGCAAACAAGGGCATAGCTAGAGTTTCTGGGGCCCCTGAAGAAATTTCACCTTGGGGCCCCTGCTAGAGCTGCCACCCCCTGGTAATAAAATTTGTTGGCTGGGGAGGGGGGAGTCCCCCACAGTAAAATTTTCCATTTATTGCATAATGTTCCCTGAATGTATAAATAGCATACAGGTCGTCGTCGACTTACGACCGCAATCGGTTCCGACTGACTGAATGTAAGTCAGCCCTTTATTTTATATGCAAAAATGATCATACGGTATGTATAGTATGCTGCATAATAAAATTATATCATCTTTAAGTCATATTGTTTTTTTAACCTTTTTGATCCATGTGTCTATGTCCCTCCAAATCCCCTGTCCACAAATATAGAAAAAGCCTCTCAAACACAAAGGTACCCGATAAGGCCGTCGTTCGGCATCCGGGCCATGAATCGCATGCGTTTCCATTAATAGGCGATCGCAGTTCGTGTGGCGCTGACACGGGCCGCCGCGTGCGGTCAAGCCTCCTCCCCGGCAGCCGGGGGGGGGTCGCGTGGATGCCTGTTCATCACGCAACTCAGAGCCACCGCTACGACCCCCGCCCGCATGCCAAACCCCACCTTTTTAATTAAGGTGCGAAAAAAAAGCAGCCACACGCTGTGACCGTCTCTTGCGATCGTAGCCTCCGGACAAAAAAGGAGCGAGGAGGAACGGAAGTTGTTTACACAACCAGCTAATTGAGAAAAGGAGCTGATCCGATGGGGCAGGAGTTACAGAAA